AACCAAAGAGGTAAAAGACCTCTATTGTGAAAACTGTAAAACACTGATGAAAAAATTGAAGATACACATTTTTAATATATTAAGTCCTTATCTTAAAACATTCACTTTGCAGCCTATATTTAAATCTCTGTTTTGAGGCAACTTCTTTCTAGACTTGAGCTGCCTAAAGCCGCTCTCTTACTGCTGCTTGACGGCTTCCCTTACTCCACGCTAATCAGTCCCAGAACACTAAAATTTTCCACTTTTTACATTTAGCTCTCCATTTCTTATCTTTCTGTTATTTCCCACATCAACTATCCTAAAATTTTATTACCCTCTTCCAGATCTGACCTCCTTTCTCCTTCAAAGATAATGAAGACTTTCAGGTATGAGCTCTCACAATTCCTTGCTCTTCCATTATCCATCTGTAGCTTAGCACAAGTAAGCCAACATGATCCTCCCTGCACATGAAGGGCTGCATAAGGTCAGTCCCTCCACATGTGCATACACTTAGTGAAGTTCTCTCCATCCCTCAACCTCTTTCTTTTGTATCTTCATTCTCTATAATACAACAAAATGTACCCAAAAAATATTTGGACCAGAAGCTGTGTACCACACTCTATCATTTCTTCTATTCCCTTCCCTTGCAATTAAGCTTCTTGACAATTTTCTCCCAACCCTAGTACTATTCCTTTAGTGTAGATTCTCACTCTCTATTTTAATCTCATATTAGTCATCTATATCCAGATATTTATTGAACACTTTCCTTCAGACACTGTTCTCAACCTGGGGACACAAACAGTAAATAGGACTTAATTCCAGTCATTATGGAACTTAAATTCTAGAAGGGGAGCCTGAGAAGAGACATCTAGTACATACTCAGAGAGAGTTAAGTCTCATTGGAACATAAAGCAGTATAGATGATGACTAATAGGAGAGGAGGTGCTAGATAGGATGGTCAGGGATGGCTTTTTTATGGGAGTGACATTTTAGCAGATTTTAATGTCAATGAGCCATTCACGGAAGGTCATGGGGAACATCTTTGAGGAAGACAGAGTATCTGTTATAAATACTCCAAGGTAGGAGCAAGCTTGGTATAATGATGGCCCCACAGGAAGGCCAAAATGACTAGTGAGTATTGATGGGAGGACCTGGGACCAGAGAGGGGGCCAAAGAAGTAAGTAGAAGCTACATTGTGTAGGCCTTATAGAGCATGTAAGGAATTTGTGTTTTCATCTGAATTAAGATGCCACTGGAAGTGTTCAAGTAGGGGACTGATGTGATATGCCTTCTCATTAAGTAAAACTAAATCTACTCAGAAATGCTCAAATATAGCTTCTCAGAATATATGCCCATGTTTTTGGATTACTGTCATTGGAACAAATTTTTTTCCTCAAAAACCCATGTTGCAGAGAAAGAAAAGGAGTATCAAGTACTCCTTTGAGTCCTTGAAACAAAGGGCTCTTTATTTTTACAAGTAGCAGAGTCTAGGAGAGCTTCTTCTGAAATTTTTGCTTATGGCTCCAGATTTTAATTTTATTAGTATTAATAATAATCATGGTCATTTTAAGAAAATTTTGGGATTAATATGACAGTATTGTTGCTTCTCATTCATTAACTACATATTTGCGTTTTATCCTACATTCAGGGCACTACTTTATGTTTAGTCCTGTGTTAGGTTAAACACAGACCTCACAGCCATGAGTCCTTTTTGCTTAGTTGCATGAAAATGATGGCCCTAATTCATCAAGAGAAACATATAGTTTGGTAGTTGAGATGGGTTCTTTTGCTAATTTGTTAGCACTCTTCCTCCTGGTTCCTATGGTGGATTGTAGCATGAAATGAAATGACTTGCTAGGGGTGATCTGAGGCCAGAGAATACAGAGAAGTGACAGGTCACAGAAAGCAAACCAGTGACATCACCTTGGAATCATGAATAAAAGGTTTAAACCAACTGTGTAACATAGAAATGAGTTTCTAAATGCCTTGAATACCAGTGTCTCAACTAAGATTAAACTGTCTGAGTGTGTCATGGTAATATCACATTACATTAAACTGTAAAAAGTTCACATGTGATTCTCAAGCTCAATGATGTTACAGGGAAACCTTTTAAATGTTTGCAGTTCTGGGAGTTCAAAGGCCAAGACCTTTCCTGAGCTCTCCCATCAACTGACTCACAGCCATGACTAGAAAACTTACTTTCTGGGAGTCACTTTTTCCCATTTGTCGAATAAAGTCATTGGACTGTTCTTTAATGTCCCTCTAGCACTAATGTTGGGTGATATATGATGAGTCTAAGAATTGCCTTTTTGGGATAGGCCTGAAGGATAGAGATGATAGTAAAACTCAGTGAAAATTAAACTGTAAACTCTGTCATTTTTAGGCTAAGACTTATTTAGTTGCACAAAGAGAACTACTAAAGCTTAATAGGAACTCTTGATTCTGAGTGGATCTGCCAGATCCTTTTTTTTGCCTCTGACAGTTATCTCTAATGATTATGTCAAGGACAGGATGAATCTGTGATGACACAAAGCCAGTATGTAAAGATTTACCCATGTGGATGGCTAAGAAGAGTGGGATATAACTGAGATTAAATGGATATTTACAAAAACCAGTGAAATACTTCAAAATGAGATTCTTTTTTGGCTTGTTCTGCCAATAAGAGTAGTAATGTAATCTTTGGCTTTTTGGTTTAGACTGTTGTCTGTTATCTGTTTAGCCAATTAAATCCTGATTTGCATCTTATGTATATATATTTTTTTAAAAAAAGCATCTCCTGTTAGGACTTCTTACTAGTCTATGTGAATGAATTTGCACCTCCTAGTTTTGAGCCAGTCAAGCTGTTCACTTCACAAGGGATTGGTCTAGTAAACTGCATTTGTCAGTCTTCCAAATACCAGCATGTAAAGCTCCTTGCAACTGCCAATTCTTCTGAAAGATCAATGAGAACATGAAATGTTTTCTTAACATATTTTCACTTCTATTGCATCTATCATAAAAATGCTATTTAAGTAAATAAAGATGGTTCAGTTCATTGCAGAAGTGTCTTTTTTTTTTTTCATTATCTTCCAGGGAACACTCATAGCCAAAGCATAAAGTTTAGTCACACTGTGGTTTTCCAGCTTCTTGTAAGAATCTGGAAACTACAAGCCAGTTACCTAAGGGGAGGTGATGTTTTCTGTTGGCCAAACAGAATAAAATACAAACAGAAAATACAAGGTATATATATATATATATATATATATATATATATATATAAATACAAAAAATATATATACATGTATATATGCACTGTAATGTATATATGTTATTATCTATATATAATATTATACAGCAACCATATATGTATATGTATATGTATATAACACCACATATATATGTATCAATAACATATATCAATATATATACATATATGTATATATATATATATAAAATTTGTTTTCATAGGAAAAAAAATTTTTTTCTGATGTTCAGCTTTAGAAAAATTTGACATATAAAAATATTCATATCTGTGAAATATACTTAACTGCATTTCAAAACAGTAACATGCTCCATTTTAGTATCATATGAGGCATACTTAGAAATCATCCAGTAGTAAAGTAGGTAAATATGAATTTTTAGCCTTTGATTGAAATGGAAATTATTTTTCAAATATCCTGGATAATTCCTTTATATACTTTGAAAGACTAGAAAAACCTCAACTTGACTCAAAGAAAGGTTATTACCTGTTGTTAAGTAGGTCTCATACAATCATATTATTAACATGAGCGAGGTAGTGGTTCTTTGCATATCTTTCCGAAAATCTGTGAGATTGGAAATTTAACAATTGTACCCAAATTTATACTTGCAAATGAATATTGTTTCCTTTAAAATACTTGCCGAGGATAAGAGACTCTTAAAAACTGAGAACAAACTGAGGGCTGATGGGAGGGTGGGTGATGGGTATTGAAGAGGGCATCTTTTGGGATGAGCACTGGGTGTTGTATGGGAAACAATTTGACAATAAATTTCATATATTAAAAAATAATAAATAAATAAATAAATAAATAAATAAATAAATAAAATACTTGCCGAGGAAAGTTGTGCGGTTATTTCAGTGATGTTATTGTTGGCTGCGGTCCCTTCTTTTGAAACTGCTTTCAGAGCAGTTCTACCTATCTAGTGAGGTTCGCAGTGATTTTAATTTACCCGCATGTTCATCTGATAGATATTTATCAAGTAGCTGCTATCTTCTAGTTGTACTAATTTCTAGGTTGATGAAAATTTAAAACCAGCAAACAATGTGGCCCTTCATTTCCTATGTGCACAGTCTAATGGTTTTGGTTTTTGGAACTGCCAGAAGCTGGATTTGGTAAAGATGAAGGATGGTAGTGAATACCGTTTCAGTGACAAATAGGATACAAGGAGATTGGTTTTTCTTTTTTTTACTTCATAAAGTGGTTTTCAAAGTGGTATCAAAGAGAATTTAAAAAGCAAACAAAACCCATTTTGAACCAAGTATCTTTGGAATAGATTGATTGCTTGTCTTGGTACTTAATTTGAAGGGCAGTATTCATTAGACAGATGTCAGTATTACTACTTTATTAGTTTTTATGTGTATTTTGGTCCTTATATTCACCACCTTTTGTTTGGTTAATGTGAAAATTCTAAGATGATCCTGGTTTACATTTGAGAGTAAGGTAGATACCTGAATGTGGTTGAGCTGTTGACCTTTAGTTTTGAGTATGTATTTAAGTTTATGTAAAGTGCAGAGTCTTGTGCTGCCCTTGACTAGTTTCTTTCAGTTTTCACATGTAGGCGATTGTACTTAGAAATAAAATGGAGATACCTAATTATGCTTCATCTGGAAGTATGCTATTATGTTATAAATAAAATTGGACTAAAAACCAATTCTACCATAGACATCCAATGCCTAACGTAAGAAGAAAAAAAATATTCTCCCAATGAATGTACAGAGGAGGGGCCCAATGCAATGTTCTGGTAGTTTTATTTATAATAATGAAACATATCTGTCTCTACAGGAGGATCTTTGGATGTATATAGAAAAATTCCAGAGCATGTCCTTGGAAGAATTGCAATAGCAGTGAGTATATATGGCTTCCGCCTTATGAAATTTGGATGATTTAATTTTTCATGTCAAACCTGTTCTCCTTATATATTCAGAATATTGTGTTCTTTTTCTTCAATCCCTGTTGACTTGCAGGGCCTTCTTAACTCTTCTTTTCTTGTCATTTTTGTGTTTTCTTCTTTTATAGACCAAACCACAATAACAACATAGTCACAGGACATCCTTCAGGCTTATGGGTGTTGTGACCTATTGTACTTTCTTGTGTTTGCAGAGACCTTAGTACACTTGTTAGCCAGTAAAATTTCCAGGTTCTTTAACAAGAAAGTTGTTTAGGGGACATTTCGTAGTTACAGGCATATAATTAGAAAATACTTTCAGAGTCAAAATTATTAAAATAAAACTACTTATAAGAAAAACACGACTTTATTCTTAAAGATTTTTGCAGACTTTTTGTTTTTGGTTTTTAATTTTTTTTACCAAGTATATCTAGGAATTTATTCCCTTTGTGATTAAAAGCAGATTTCTGTTTTCTGAATACACAAATAAATTGACACAATGTGTCAACTCAACTAACATTACTATATAAACTCCAGATTTCAAATTTGGAATAATCTAGACTACACAGTGTCGAAGAGAAGTCACGAGGTGGTGGAATAGTAAACAGTTGCTAATCTAAAGGCATTCTGATAACTTAAGCAGTTTAATGCAGAACAAAGCAATTATACCATGTACCATTTAATTAAATGGCTGATTTTCACATTCATTATACATCAGACTGACAACTCAGATCCTTTAATCCAACACGGACACTTATTTAGTCTTAGTTCATTGTAATTCACAGCTTTCCTTTCTTCTTTCTAATTATTAGTATGAACTGCCCAGGGTGATGAGAACTTTCTTTTCTGATGCTATTGCTAAGTAGCTTCTAATCTACATGTTTAGGTAGATTAGTTTAGTATGAAATTTGAGTACTTAAATCACTATTTCAGATGAAAATAAAAATGTTTCATTTCCTCTTTTAATCTCAGAAGGGAATGAATGCTTTGTGGCTTTTGGCAGTTCTTGGCTCTAAAGTTTAATAACACGTATAATAAAGGGCAAAAAAAGGCAAAGATACCAAATGAAAAGGAAAAAAGTATATGAGTTCTGTATACTCACTTATGTGTTGAACTTGGCTAAAATAGGAATCTGCTTTCTTCTGTTAGAGAAGCATGTTCTTCCTGGACTTCATAAATCTTACCTCCCTCTTGTGTAGGGCATCCACACAAGGCCGTTGTTCTTTTCATTTCTACTGGCATGAGAAGCCTGTGAAGTGAATGGAGTCAGCAAAAATAATAATAATAATTCGGTTTCAAATACCAGGTTTACCTATTGGGTAATTGAAAATACGGCAAAAATTATTTTAGTGAAAGGCACTCAAAATAAGCACTAGCCCAAAGCATTGTTTACATTTGCCCTTACATTTTTCAAAATTAGGGTTTTTTTCCCCTAATACGTGTCCAATTTCTTTAGCTTTTATGGCTCATCAGGTCATAGTAATGAAAACTGCCTGTGGCCAGAATAAAAGAAATGCTTTTGATAATTTTGCTCTTCATCTACTACTTTCTATAAACTCTGCTGGGGCCTAAACTTGTATAATGCCTCCCAAGTGTATTTTTTTTTTTGTTTCATGTAATTTGAGTAGGCTACAAACAACTAATCCTGTGTTGCAGCTGACAAACACAAGTGGAAGCATTCTCCCAGTTAAAATAAGACTAGCAAATTGATGGTTTCCAGGTCATGGTTTGTAAAAGTAAATAAATACTCTCATAGCCTGACTGGGTTCCTGGTATCCTTAGTTGTTTCTCCTCTAGTATTGTGAAGACAGATCATCATCTTCTGTTCCCTTGGGTTCCCTCAGTGAGGCCAAGGAAGCACGTGTGTGCTCTTGCCAAGTCAGAAGCAACAGAATCAGATGAGAGAAGAGGGAAATGGGTGCATGTTGAATACCTCCTGTGCCAATTGTTGATACATATTTTATGTATAAATTTTATGTCATTTAATCTTTATAGCAAACTCTGTAACGTGTAGGTTATTGAACAGATTTTATACATGGCAAGATGAGATTTAGAGAAGTTAAAGTTACCTACAACTAATCAGTAATAATTTGAACCCAGGGCTGTTTCACTCCAGACCCCATGCTTTTTCACGCTGCTTTCCTAAGAGAAGGAGAAAAAAGGGGAGGAAGGACTGAAAGGGAGAACAAGGGTACAAAGAAAAGAAAAAGGAAAAAAGGAGAAGTACATAAGACAGTAATGGAGTGACACATACAATTGCTTCAGATTCTTTTCATGTCTTAGAACCACATGTAGGCACCTCTCCCACCCCCAATTAACTTTATTTTCCAGGTTCTAATAATCTGGCATGCTGTGGAGGTCCAAAGATCCAAGGTTCATTATAGGATGGCCCCCTGTCAGCCTTGATGATATGTTGTTCAAATTTTCTCTTGTAGGATATATGGCAAGAGGATATAAAAAAAAATTAATATAAACTGGCTGATTTCAGCTTCTAGCTTGCTCAGTGATTTTTATCTGTTTTCCATTTGAATGTGGTCTCTGAGAAAGAGGAATGCCTTCTTGCCATTCCCTGCCATCTTGCACGTTTTATTTTTCTTCTCATTTCTGAAGCAGTGACACTGTGTACTGTATTTTGAGTGCTAATGTTGATGGAAGTTGTCCCTGAAAGGATGTGCACTTGACATGTCAAGGAGTGAGTGATTGACAGCAGATATAAGTACTTTTAGTGTCAAGGCTTTGTCAAGTCATTGTTGTGAAACCCAGCCTACTGAATACCAATAATACCCTCTACATTTTCAATGGACAGATTTCTAGCTCTCCATATACTGCTTTTCATATACTTCTAAAGGAAAACGTGTATTTTGACAAAGTTGGAAGAGTGACATATTCTTTTGAATCACTAACAAGATTTATAATTTTAGCAAGTGTCATACAATCAGTATTTGTTTTACTTTTTTCCTGCCTGATCTGAATATATAATGGTTTGCCTTCCCCTTGTGTGTTTTCTGGTTATTCATTTTTTTTGTGGACTGATTTTTAGTGGTGAACCATCTTTGATGGGAAGGTTTTATAATATGCAACTAACCTTATAAGTTGAAAAGCTTAACCCTATTTCCCAACTCAGAGGTGATTATTTCCATGCCAAATAAGATAGCCTTATCCTACTACTCAAAGAGAAAATTGTTTTCATTATTGATGTTATTTTAATAAACATTTAGGGAAATATTTTTGTCTTATTTCCTCCTCCTATTGGTTGCCATTTTACTATTTTGGTAGTTTCTTTTTCTTTTTTTCTTTCTTTTTTTTACTATCTTACTGTCCAGAACATATGTGTTTTATTGTAATGCCACTTTTTCCAAATCCTGGAAGAAATGATTTGCTATAAATATATATTCTGTTCTCTTAAAACAGACAAACTTATCATGGAAATAATCATACCTTGCTAGCAAATCTTTCAGGAGTACATCCCTCTCTAAGAAAACAATGAAAATATGTTAATTTCTGCTCAGCATTAATTGATGTAGATTTTACCTTCTTCTAGATCTTTAGTATTTAGAAATTGGGTTTCTTCCTGTGCATTTCTGTTTTTAGAATTGCTCATAGTCTTTCTTGATCAACTAAAATCCTTGTGTATTTAGCTCTAGGCTTCTTTTCATCATTTTCAAAAATACTTAAATCACTCAGTTACTCCTCATAATGGTAGATTTCCTTGTTCTTATACTCCTGACTCACCTAAAATGTTCTATTGTGATAAGTACTTTTAAATTCTTGAGTAAAATTTGAGTGATAGTGGTTCATGCATTGTATCTGATATGTAATTATGAATAGTCAACCTTGAAATTGTTAAATTCACGCTCATCTGCATACAGGGTCAGTGGGTGTGAATAAAAACATGTGCTTCCCCTTTTATAACAATTTCTATATAAAGATTTTTACAAAAGATTAGTGATTAAACTTCCCACATAGAAGGTAGCACTTGTAACCCACATACTTAGGGTCTTAGAAACATTTTTTTTTTTTAGAATCTTATTTGACTATTCTTAACACAGGCTGTTCAATCAAAAATCCAATCTAATGTGAATGTTTTTATTTTCTCACTTTATTTTCTTGCCCTGCCCTTTCAGTATTTTCTAGGTGAGTCTACACTTGCACCTGCCAGACTGGCTTGTGAGGCTGATCATCTTGATATACTTTGTTCTTTCCTACCCTAATATCATTTAAAACATTTTTTTAGAAACTTTTTTTTAAACTATTTTAAACTTACAGAAAAGTTGTAAGATGCTTCCTCCAGATTTCCCAGTTGTCAACAGTTAACTACGTTTGGTTTTAAAAATACGCACAACCACACACACACACACACACACACACACACACACACACCTTGGTTTGAGAGCGTAATTCATTCTGGAAACATGCTTGTAATCCAAAGCACTTGTATATCAAAGTGAATTTCCCCATAAGAAATAATGTAAACTCAGATGATTTGTTCTACAACTCCAAAATATTCATATAAGAATGATTACAAGGGGCACCTGGGTGCCTCACAGTTGGTTAAGTGTCCAGCTCAGAGCCTGGAGCCCACTTTAGATTCTGTGTCTCCCTCTCTCTCTCTGCCCCACCCCCACTCACTCTCTGTCTCTCTCTCTCTGTCAAAACTAAATAAGCATTAAAAAATTATATTAAAAAGAGAATGATTATAATACTATAATGTAATACAAAATGTTAAAGAAAATACAAAATATAAAGAAAAATAAATTAACCTGCACGTACCTTTGAAAACCTTCATGGCTGGTATGAGGAAGACAAGAGAGAGGAGGGTTATTGTGCAGGACAACTTTCACTATCACTAATGGAATCAGTGCTATCTATTGGCTGAATGGAATCTTTTTCTGCATGGGGGCCATTGTATATGCTCTCACAGATGTTGACCACAGTACAATGTTAAAAAACTCTTGTCAGACACTGTATTTAGTGTAACTGGCAATAAAACAGCAGAGGAAAGGGTCTATATCTGCAGGCAGCCTGACCTAGAATGAAGCAAAGCATCCCTAAACTTACTCTTGTACGGAAAAGCAAAGGACTGTCCATAGGTGCTTTGAAATGACCAAAAATACACAAGTGCCAGTTGTGGGCACCTTCCAATGTTCTGAAAAATCACTGACTTCTGCCAAACACTGTGGCCTGAGACCGAGCATCTGAGCATGGGAGACGATCACCCACGATCCTGCAGTGGGAGAGAGTGAGAGCCTTTGGCTCAGTCGTGATCATGTGATGTTCGGTGTCAGATACTACTCGTATTGCAAGACATTGCTCGTTTATTGAGTTAAAATTTATTAGAAATGTTTGCTTGTCTTGTCGAACATTCATAGGACAAGTTACTCACAATCTAAGGTTTTACTGTATGTATATATATATATATATATATATATATATATATATATATAT